AAGACAAAAAATACAATCATGATCAAAGACAAATTGCAAACGTGATCAAAATGATTGCAACAGGCCAAGCAAATGCAAAAAAAAAATCGAAACACTTGCACCAAAAAAATCGCAAACGTGACCAAGTCAACCACATCAGGGAAAGCAAATTCAAACAATCAAACGGCAGCGTCATGGAACACAAATGAAAACAAGACCAAAGCAAATACATATATGACTAATCTAAGGAAAACAAGTCTAAACATGTTCAAAACGACAACAAGTCTAAACATGTTCAAAACAACATCAAGGAAAACAAATGCAAACGCGACCAAAACTCCAGAACAAATGAACCAATATAAACAAAACAACTGAGCCCGGGAAAAGAAATGCCAAAACGCTCGAAGCAAGATGACCGATTCATTCCGGTCACCTGATTATCTGCTTTCTTTTATCAGGCACAGCATCTGCATCCTACAAAGAATCTCTAAATCCGGGAAACTGGATAATAACACCAGGTTTAATAACATTTAAGAAAGCCGGTCTTCTAAACTCAGGTAAATGATCCTTTAATACAACTTTTTTTCTTACTATGCCACTGTACATTCTACTGAAATCATAAAAGTACACAGGATCGTCTGTACAGTAAACATACACTATAGTTCAGTCTTTCAAATATGAAATCTTGCTAGTGAGAATACCAGAACTCTCTCAATAATCATCAGGGGCCGGATACTTAAACGCGTTAAGACGCCGTATCTCTTTAAGTTTTAAGCTCTTTTGAGTATCCGGCCCCTGGGCTGGAATTCTACGGAAATTCATCTGCTAAACGGAAACAAAAGACGACCGACGGATGGTGACGTCACTACGATTTTTTTTTTCCGAAGGCCGTATTTTTGTTATTTTGTAAAACTAAAGATGTTTTGCTGCAAAAAAAAGTGTCTATATAATAAAGAGATATTTCCCCATGTTCATCGCGGCTGAAATTTAATTCGATATCACTTCAGCTGGTCTTCCAGCTGGACATCACTAAAGGCAGAACCACAGTCCAATAGAGTGACTTTAAACCTTCAGCTCTACAACACACTAACTATGAATAGTCGTAAACTTTTTAGATAAATCAAGTTTACATGTTCAATGTCGCATTTTCCTAAGTTATGCATTTAATAAATTTTCTATATAGAGATGCGGGTGCATTTTATGTTGTTAATGTTACATTACTGGCTTGGTAATATACTTATTGTATACTGTTTTATGCAGCGCAATAAACAATAAAGTGACAGAGGGAATATTATAATCACCAGACTTTGATCCTAAGCACTGTAACTGTAATCTAATATCCAACCATTTATAATAGTGTATGGTCAAATGCTATAATTTATATCCGTTTTCTTTATCCTCTGATGTTTTGAGGACGGCAGAAATGCTGCGATGGAAAAAAGCTGACAGCCATGCTAATCATCCCAGATTTATGTATTGTCCCCTGTATTTTTTGTGAATTTTATTGCATACAGATGGCTCCACATGTGGGTGACTTTAACAATCCTTGCAATAGCGGGAAAATGTATTTTTCCTTCTAACACCATTTGTATTTTTGCTGTTGTTATTCTTGCTGATATTATGATTATTAAATTACTACTAAAGTATTAATAACATTAAAGACAATAAAACAATACAAATGAGACTTTCCTAAAATCAAGGAAAATGATAAACAGGTGACATAGGTAGGACTAATAACTGACTCCTTGGTGACTAAGTACCAGTAGAGTATCTATATATAAAGACAAATGAACTTACATAACTGTAGTGATGGCATGTATTCTTGCCAAAAGGGGTGATTGGATTAATCCCATATCACGCAGCTCTACTCAATGGAAAGCGTTAATGATGATGATGATGATAATATTAATAACAACAATAATGATAATAGAACTAGTAATAATCATATGCTTCACCATAATGGTGATAATGGTGATAATGATAAAGATAACAACAACAACGATGCTGATGATGATGATGATGTGATGATGATCATGATGATAATAATAAAATAATAATTATAATAGCAATAATTATCATATATTAATAATAATAATTAATAATAATAATAATAATAATAATAATAAAAATAATATAATTAATGATGATGATGATAAACAATAATAATAACAGTGATAAAAATAATAATGATGACAACAATAACAATGATGATAATAATGATGATGATTGCAAAAATAACAAAGCAATAAGAAAGCAATTATAAAATGCCAGTAAGAACAAATTAAAGATAAAGTAAACATTCCAGCAAAAGAAAAATATACTTTCTATCCATTTATGTTATTCTCTTCCTTATCATCCTAAACTTTTCCAGGTTATAGAACATTAATTGACAGTGTTATATAACAATTTAGAACACCATCAAAAAAGAAGCTCGTCAATAACAGAGTAACAACCCGATTTCAGACAAGCAAGCACATCAATAATAATCCAAGTACAACAATATAGAGAAATAATCAATAAGTGGACAAATATACTAAATAAGTACATAAACAAATAAAACTGGGAAACAAATATAAAAACAAAAAGTAAAAGAAAAACACTTTGAATACCCATCAAACTGCTCTCCTCAAGCTGATCTAAAGCACCTGTTCATTCCTCAACTCCTACTATTTCAAGTACACTAAATAAGTACATAAACAAAAATAGAAATGGGAAAAACAAAACTAAAAAATAAAGTAAAAAAAGAAAAGAAAAGAAAGGAAAAAACACTTTGAATACTCACCAAACGGCTCTCTTCCAGCTGGTCTATGGCACCTGTTAATTCCTCGACTCCTACTTTTACCTCTGTCATGTACTGCTCTGCCTGCCATGTGGATAGAATATTCAAATATTATTTTAATTTACTTCTTGAGAGGAAGAGGAAGGAGTGCCAGGCTGAGAAGAAGCAGAGAAAGAGAGGGAAGGACCAGAGAAAAAAAAGACATTCAATATAGAATTAAGCAATCTTTATAATCAAGTATTCCAGAACATAAATAGATTACATTTTATTTAATTTACTGAAATGGGAACATCTAACCTTATTACAATGTCAACACCCTGAGGAATACTTACAAGCTTGTCAAATTCAACAACATCATGCTGACAATGAGGTCCAAACATAAAACATGTTGTACAAAACATCTGGAATGAAACATGTTAAATACAATTATTGTAATCCATAGGAATATTAGCAAGAAAAAACCCTAAAGTCAATTATTCATCTCAACTCTTCACTAAAATCTAGATGGGGAGAGAGGCAATCAATGAATGAATGCAGGGTGGGAGAGAGAGAGAGGGAGAGAGAGAGAGAGAGAGAGAGAGAGAGAGAGAGAGAGAGAGAGAGAGAGAGAGAGAGAGAGAGAGAGAGAGAGAGAGAGAGAGAGAGAGAGAGAGAGAGAGAGAGAATGTAATGGACAGGGAGAGGGAGAGGGGGAGTGGGAGGGGCAGAGGAGTTGCACAGACAGAGAGAGAGAGGGAGAAGGAGAAGGATATGCACAGACAGAGATAGAAAAACAGAAAAAAAAATCAGAACCCCAAAATAAGCTTACATTCTGACCCACATCCTCACTAGAGCATGTGTAGCACATATGAGAGGAGATGACATCAGGGTGACTCGGACATGGAGGCCTAAGGTATGCAGACTGAACCGTGTGGAAGGGCTCTGGTATGTGTTTCTTCATAGTTTTGTGTGCATGGATCTGTGGATACATTTCATCGAAATTAGAAAGTTAATTTGGAAATTCAGAATGGAGGGTAGAAAAGGACTTGACAGTTGAAAGGAGATGGAGATGGAAAAATAGAGCAAAAGCAAAGGAGAGGGTAATGGAAATTATTTTAAAAAAAGGATAAGACTGGAAGAAATACATAAACTCATAGATAGACAGATAGAAAAATACACCATCCTTCATACTACACAAATAACAAAGGTAATTATTTTCCTAGTTAAATTTTGCATGAAAGGGGAAGTTTTATGGTTATAAGTAGTTTACAGATCTGCTGAAAATATAGGCAGTAGCTTTGTTAGTTATTCAACATTCAAAATACTAACCTTCTTGAAACATGGGTCAAAAATACTAACCTTCTTGAAACATGGGTCAAAAATACTAACCTTCTTGAAACATGGGTCACATAATTCAGACATGCATTTCCTGCACCTAAATGTAGCCTTGTTCTCACTGCATTCTTGGCATAGACCTACAAATAATGAAATGTAAAACTCGGAATAACAAAAAATATGTAAACATTAGAAAATATCAAATCAAATACATAATCCAATAGCGTGACTCAAACAGCGAGCACGAAGTAAACTTAACACAACACAAAAATCAATCTTTAAAAATCAGTCAATATCTAAATATATAAATATTTTCTATGACAAAAAATATCAAAATTTCTTATTCATATTACCTTTCATATGCTCTTTGACAGCAAGCATTCTAATAGGATCCAGTCTCATTTCCAAATGTCCACTGAAAATTAATAAACAGAACAGCAATTTATCATGGTATAAAATAAACACATTACACAAGGAACACCTTATTAAATATACCTGAACATTTTTTACCTTTGAGCTGTTTAGTAACACACACAAAAAGAATGTTCTTGACTGTAGATCTTTCTGTTGATAATGAATACTCTATGTTGCACAATCAAAATAAATAATGCCAAATTCAAACAACAAGAGCTGTTACTTACTCTAAATTGATGGGGAGAGAATAAGACTCTGCAACAAGGCCAAAAATATAAAGGTGTTTTGGCAGTTGACCTCTTATAACTCTTGTTTTCTGATGATTAATAAAAACATTTCTCTCCTTTAGGACCAAAACCTTTATACACGCTAAAACATATATTACTGACTTTTTCAATATCTCACTGACAAAATATATAGTATATAACAAAAAAAATCAATAAATAAATCAGTCAATATCAAAGCGAGTAATACCTCATTGCAAAGGCTACAGATGTACAACAATGCACTCTGAGCACAGGTTTCGCAACAACCGTGACCACATGACAGCAGGACTGGTGCTCGTCTATTTGGGGAACGCCTATTATCTGAAATGCACAAATATTCCTTTATCAACACGAATACCATTTGACGGTAAATAATAAATCAGACCAACACGTTAATATTCCGCGATATCATCTAATAAATATGGCCATATGAATCTACAGTATTAATTGAAAGATCAATGTGTAACTAACCTGAATATAGCAATTACATCATAATCTTGACTGCAATAAAATTTTACTCACACGAACAAGAATGTTCCTATCTTCAATGACTGACGGGCAGGTTACAATATTTAAGACAGTATAGATTAAAGACTTGCCATGCCCCAACAGTTCTATTTGGATCAAACGTGCAAAATACATTCATAAAAAGGTCAGCCTTTACGTTTCCATACATTACTTCATTAACCATATCATTCTGACTCTCAGCTGACCTATAATAACTATCAAATACCATAGTGAACTAAAGCTGATCATTCCCCATACTAGCAGGAACAGCAATTCGAAAATAACACCAAAAATCATACTTCAAAAACACGCGTAATATACAGTACACATTTCATTTTCACTGTCCTCTCATCTCAATTGATCATGAAAGATCCTATAATATCAAATAAATAATAACAATCGCTTGTCACAGCCTCTCTTCTCCCAACGCATGGCGCATCTATGTAAATCGCTCTTTATTTCTCACCTGTTCCTTTCACACACACATACCTGTTCTGTAGGAAGTGTGGCATTTGGGACACTTCATATTCCTTCCAATCCTCGCCCGTAAATACATTTTTTCATCTCGAATTGTATTCATTTTCGACAAAATCTTTCCTTCTGTTTTCCC